TACCCTTTTTGTGGAACGCAACTTTCCCACACCACCACAGAGAAATACCTTGGACTGATACTGACGGACAAGCAGAACGCCGCTTCCAATTACCCAGGAGATGCCTTCAGAGCCCATACAGTACTACGCTTCGTGGGCAGACAACTGGGCGTCCCTACTCTGGAACCCTTCCCAGAGCTGTACAAGACCAACATTTGACATCACTTGGAGGTCCACGGCGTCATTGCACTACCATATCTGAAGAGAGATGTGAACCTCTGGAGAAAGTTCAGGGGCAAGCAACAAAGGGTATTATGGAATTGAAGAAAAAACCCCTGGGGATAGGTCAAAATACTCAGGGCTTTATTATATTAGCTACTATGGGCTGGGTTGTGCCTCGATAATGGCTTATAAAATACTAGGTAATCGAAGTCATCTGAACAACCATCCGAACACTGTGATACTTCTCGTGGTGACCGAAGCAGAGTCCCCCACGAAAGGGCGAAAATACGAGCGAGTTCACACTTTTTATCTCTGTAAGTTTTCGGCCACTGGAATGCATTACCTGCCGAGATGACGACTGTTCCGTCCATCGACAGCCTCAAGAGGAGGTTGGATGGCAACGCAGCGACGTATAGTTTGCGCCCATCCAGTTGGGATACGGACTAGGCCGATGCAATCTGCTAACTCCCTACAACCCAGCACAGCCAACCACATACAGCGTCTTTTATGTCACCACTATTGTCACGAACTTGACTCAACCTTAGACTTCCCAGTAGACGTCTCCTCCAGTTACCATCCACTATTAATAGTATTACTATCTCTATCCCTACAACCCGTCCAATAATCTCTTCGTTCTGACGCCCTGATCTCACAGCATTTATTAAAGCTCTTTCTTTCACTCATCTTCTAGGGACCTACATAGGTTTCTCCCTCCCTTCCTCTCCGCTTCCTTCCACCTTATCGTATTTTGTACCATTTTCTTCACAGTTAATCTTCTTTGATTTATTTGGGCATCTTTTCTGTCTTCCTTTTACAACCGCTCAGATTAACTATCTGGTGGTAAGGCGGTTGAGGAACCCATCTGAGCCAGAGTCCTCGGAAAAAGCTCATAATTCCTACAGATTTAGTCAACACAACCACTCATCAGGTTAACGAGAGCTACAGAAGGCAAGTGAGTAGACCTAATACATCGGAATTCACCAAAAGCATAGAACCGTTCCGTAAGACCAAGAAGCAAGCGTGAGGAGATCAATTGGTTTAGACTAGTTCTTAAAAGGATATTCGGTATTGAACTTCGTGATAACTTGATTAAATAGATCAACGAGGTCGAGATACCGAAGCACCTTTTACAATATTTGAAGGTCATCGCCTCTTTTATGTGTGGTTTAATTCGACAATATCCAAACTGAGTCTGTTGCAATGAATTTCATGAGAAGGCATTTGACTAAAAGTGTGAATCGGGAAAGTAGCCTACAGTATCGTTTGACTGCCGTAGGCTAATAACACTCTTCAACCAGTACATGCAAACACACACCAATGAAGATAAGGATACTATTTTATACAACACATTACCATATTTCTGCAAGGTAATTTTTTTCCCACATATCTACAATACCATAGGTGTTTTCTGAAGCCCAGCCCGTCGATTTTGTTGATAGGTTTCCTGACATACATTTGTTTTGTGCACGTGTATCTCAGCTATTCGTGAGAGAGATTAAGTCTAGGGCAGCGAATAAGTCATCAGGTAAGCAATATTTAGCATATTTAGTTTTTTAGAGGAAGGAAGTCTCTTAATCGCCCAGTTTTTGGAGCCAGATGAGAACATTGGGGACTGCTTGGAGGTTACTGATGCTGATCACGCCGTTATCACTAACAAGGGTTCTTGCTTACTAAACACGCTAAATTTGATGAGCACTGGACATACTAGTTTAATTGAGTGTATGGCTGCTGCCTCATTACCATCTACACTGGTTAAGTGTTTGTATATATTCCTCGACCTTCCTTCGAAATACTCTACAGGGTGTACATTCCATACGAAATTTCGGGAAGTAAGCCATATCCTTCTGATGTATGCATATTTTGTCATTTTGAGAATATTTACGACCTTTTCCCCATCCATCGGATCTATTTGCCAATCAATTTGTGTCCTTTGAGATGTGCGTGCCTGCTGAAATCCCATGGATTTATTAAAACTGAAAATTTTCGTTTTTGTTATTGAGCAATCTCTTAACTCTGCCATTAGAACAGTTTTTACTACTCTAGTTTCTTTAGAACAGGAGCCATATAATATCAGACTATCATGTCGTAAGTGGATGTGCTTTTCATCAGACTGGTAATTATTTAAAGAGAAGTAATCCAACTCGTATAAAATCTATACTTTCCTGACAACTGACAAGGGAAAGTATTCTGTCCATCGGTTTTCTCTGTTCTTTACTACTGTAGCAAAATGTTATTATAGGCAGTTGTGTGAAGGATGCGGTAGATGTTTTCAAAGCGTTGGAAAGCAGAAAACACTAATTTGAAGCATTGAAAAGATTATCATGGAAGACGACCTATTTGCTCTCCTCTTAAGTTCTTGTAAATTACTTTGATAATCACCTACTTCTATTGATTTTTTGCTGTCATAAGGAAATTGTAGCATTACGCAAGAAGTCCACGAGTGTCATTTATCTGGATCGTGGTACGTATGGAGTAGTTTCCTTCATATTTCCATTTCTTTTTACTTCATGCAACTTCCAATCATATTATTTTCGTAACTTATTTCCACCCTCGTTACTTTCTCATCTGAAGTACTAATGTAAAGTAACTTGAACAGTTATGCAGTTATATCAGTTCATATGTTGGTAATTTCTTTCAAACAGTGATAATTTAAAGCAGTATGCTTCTACATAGACTTCTTTACTTTACGTGTCGAGCTGAATGTATAAATCGTTTGTATTATCTTGTAATCAGTTCTGTTTTGGTCATATTCAGCTTCTCCAGAGACTGTGCTTGTACCCGGTGGTAGCTGAGGAGTTGGCTCGTAAAGATGCTCTATGTCATCTTTTCAATGCTTTAACCGACTGGTGCGCACCCCACAATTCTAATTGGCGCCTAACGACCACTGTTATATTATCTACAATCGCTCAAAATTCTCTAACTCCTGTTGTAATTAAGCGGATACACGGTAGGTTACTGAAATGCTTATTGTATGGTTTTTGAAATTATACTCCACAAGACCTGTTTTCAGTGATCTATGAAATGCTAAACATCGTTTGTCACTCATTTACCTGCTATTTTATTTTACATGTCTCACTCTCCAGAAACAGCTTCCATGGTGTAGGAAGCCGCGAAATATCAATCCCGCTCACCCTCCCACTAGTTTGTAAAATTAGTAAAAACAACCTACCCTCCTTACTTCTGCCCTCTTCCTTGCCTTCAGTTCCTGATACCAATATTGTTCCTCTTTTAACTACCTCGAGCCCCCACTTTGCGACCGTTGACAACAGTTTAAGCAGGCGAAACACCCATCCCAATCTCTTAAAACCTAGCTGTAGATTTCACATTGGAGCTTCCAACGTCCTAACTCTATGCTAAACCAGACAACAGACATCTCTTGCCCGAACTCTGAAATCTTGAACCATAGATGTATACTGTGTTTCTGAAATACGTATACAAGGACCAACTATGGTTATTTACCTTAACTCATCAGGTCAATGTGGTGAGTCTTCAAAATTCACTTTACGAGTATCCAGAAACTCTACGGCTAGCTCTCGTGAACTTGCTGATGTATATATAACACTAAATTGTAGAGCAGAAAGCACACTTCTCTACTGAATACCAGTCAAAAGACGTCTATTACTATCCAACTGAGTGGATGTATGAAAACAAGGAAAGGTTATGAGACTAACCGATGTCTATTCGTAATCTCCGCTTGCGTGCCGACTGACTACAGTCCGGATGATACAAAGGATGAATGCTGTCAGGAGCTGTCATTGTCGCTACAGACGACAAAAAGTTTCAGATTTGGTCATAATAACAGGTAACTTAAACGCTTAATAAAGAAAGCCGAGCCAATCGTAAAGGAATCTTGGATGTGTCAGCGGTATTGAATATCAACGTACCGACAAGGATGATCGTCTGTTGCAATATTGTCCTAATGATCACTTCTTTCTTGAAGACATAGAAAACAATGTAGAACCTTGCATACAAAGGTGTCGATCCAATTTGTGACAAGTCACGGTAGCATGGAAAGAACGAGTGGCTAGAAAAAGACTGACATAGAAGTAGACAGGCAAATCAGTCTATGAGGTTGCGAACGTTCAGCGAGTGAGATGGCTCGAAACATGTGTTGTGCATGCCGAGCAACCATATACCTTCATGTGCGATGCTAGAGTTTGGTTTAACTTGGCTGAAGTTCCACGGTGACCAGGTTAAGACTTGGCAACAGTCGATGGTGTCTTTCACTGTTAGTCTGAACCGTTTAAAGAGGTGTAGACTACCTGGTTGGGGTCCGAAACGATAGAAATAAGTGTTTGGTGAGTTTCGGTTAAATGGTTGAAAATTGGCCACAATGGTGCAGATGTATTCACTCTTATGTTTTCTAAAGCCTAAGTGTTTTGATTAACCTTCACTTTTAAATTCCTTCTCCTCCCATACACCTCTGTCTATTTTGATATCAGTCTTTTTCTACCACTGGTTCTTTTCATGCTGCTGTGAATTGTCGCATCTTGAACCGATACACTTGTTTGCGGGGTTCTACGTTGATTCTATGCATCTGTTCTGCGTTTTTAAAGTGGTTCGGTTTCTGTATGGATGATGTCCAGAACTGATTAAGGTATTTAAATAACGAGTGTATGTAGTTCTGTTTTTATGTCAACGGCTATCGGTGTGTCCTGTATATTATTTATTTCACTAACTTCTAAATACTGTCATAAAATTACTAATTTATGTGCTAGTGAATCCATTCATTTATTTACCATGACTGAAGTTCACGGTCCCAAGTAATGGAGATGAATGAGATTCGATAGGACATGTTCCTAATATAGAATTAGGTGTAGAGTACTAGGTAAATGAAGTCAGTTAATGAAGTTGTAAAGCGTCGTTAGTACCTACGATGTGTTATGCACACTGGCCGCTGTCTATCCCAACGTATATTGTTGGCAAAGTAGGCTTGGGTTGTTGTGGCTTTGATCATCTCTCAATAAATGAAATACTAAGTTGGTAATATCCGACTGCCTCGTAACGCTGATTACGTCACTCTATATTTAGGTAAAAGTCAAATGCGACTATTTCATAATGTCTTTTAAGCGAACCATAATGTGATAGGTATGTAATTCTGTCATTAATAATCTAACTTCCTTCATTTGTGGTATAAATGTCTCTGCACTTTGGTTTTGTACAAGGTTTTATGATGTACGTTTTTTTTCGGGTTTCAGACTCGGAATGTATCCGCCATTGTCTCAAGAATTTTTCGGAAAGTAAAGGGAGTTACAGAGATTTTGTGAATAGTTTTGTTTCACTTCTCCATGTTGTCCGCGAATCATCTGTTGACGACCAAATTCTCCTAGACGATTTCCGCACTAACAACGGTTACTCTATGCTAACTGACTTTTGTCTTAGGTAGGTTACCTGGTTTAGAAGATGCATGTGCATTTTCTTGCTAAATTGTTATTGCTAAATACTTCGTATATTCCTACGCCTAACATCCTCATTTCTATGCCTTCTAGTTCAACTACCATATAATATATATATATATATATATATATATATATATATATATATATATATATATATACAAATAAAAGTTCATCCTTTTTGTAGTCACTAAACTCATGTCGTTTCTTTTGTTCTTGACCCGCCATAAAGTGCAAATGGTGTGAGATAAGCTATGAACTTGGAGAAAAGGTTTTAGAAAAGTTGAGCTATCAGCTGAACAGCTTATTACTTCGCTCTATGCATTTCATGAATTTTAAACCGTCACATTCTTGTGCTATTTGTGTCTTGGAAAACTAAAATGTAAAGCCATTACTAAGCAACTGAGCAATTTACCGTATCAGTTTTTATTTTTTAATTTTTTAGCGAGATACTTTTCACAAAATTCCCTTTCCTATGTATAGCTAAAAACCGTTGACTGCGTGTCAGCTGTAAGCTGACGATAGGCAATAGTAGGTAACTGTTTAGGACTATCGAGGAAATCGAGGCGTAAAGGTCAACAGTTTGTTAGACTACATAGGAGAAGGATGGGCTTGTGATGTCGCTCAAAACCTCAAAATTACCAAAAGGCCATATGTGACCAACCTCAGGCAGATCTCATTTGGGCTTTGTGTTTGTATACTATCCCTTCTTTTTGAGATACCTCAAGAACTAGCCGGGAAGTGTCAACCGTCCGCATTCTTCCAGCAGTACACAGTACTCAGTTAAACAACCTATCCTCCTCACTTATTTCCTCTTCTTTGCCTTCACCTCCTGATACTAATGTTAACCCCATTACACCTTCCTTAACCTCTCATTCTGCAACCATTGTTAACGATCGAAGCCATCGGGACCTCATTCCTGGTCGATTTAGACTGCGGCATAGATTCCATATAGAAGCTTTTAACGTCTAAACTCCATGCCGAATGGGACAACAGGCATCGCTTGCGAGAGCTCTTGAATATCTAGCCATGGATATATGCTGTCTCTGAGGCACGTGATTATTAAATGAACCTCAACTGGCTATTTCAATGAATCTTCAAAATTCACCTTACGAGTGTCTGGAGACCCAGTGCCTAGTTCTCGTAGACTCGCTGGTGTAGGCATAGCATTGAGCTATAGGACAGAAAGTACACTTCTGGACTAAATACTTGTCAACAGCCGTTATGTGCTGTTCGACTGATTGGATCTATAAGAATTAGGAAGGATCGTGAGACTAACCGATGCCTATTAGAAATCTTCACCCACGCACCCACCGACCTCAGTTCGGATGATGCAAAGAAGAAATTCTATGAGAAACTCAGTTTTGCTACAGAGTGAGACGTTCAGATGTAGTCATAATGGCAGGTGACTTTAACGCTCAAGCGGGGAAGCTGAGCCAATCAAAAAGATATTTTGGGGTTATTTCCGGAATGCCACGCCAACGACTTTGTTGCGACAATCATTTGTTTCTGGCCAGCACTAGCTTTAAGCATGAGGAGAGATATTATCTCACATAGCATCCGCCTACTTCAAACCAACGATGGACACAATTAGATCACATTGCTATATGCCATCGTTGGAGAGGATCAGTGGAGGATTGCCGCTTTTTTCGGAGTACCTGTTTGGACTCCGATCACTCGCTAGTATTATCTAGTGTATGTCTGCACTTTACTGGTCGCAGGAAACAGGCGATAGTAAAGCCTGTGTATGGTCGATTAGTAGATGAGGACGCCAAGTATGCATTTAGAGAAGAGGTTACCAAGCATTCATCTGAACGTGACAGCAGTGCTCATCCTGAAGAAACCTGGTGTGATATTGTCTGCTGTAGAAACAACAGTACAGACAATTGGTAACCAACCGAAGATTAGCAAATGTGGTTGGATTTCCGTGACGTCCATTTTCCGAACCAACATATAGGTTGGCCAGGGCTACCCGGTTTTGGCGTTCCTCTTAAACTTTGTGATGGGTGATATTTTCGAGACAGCTCTGATGGAATTGCATGGTGATGGTGCAGGTCTGTTGCCAGGTGGAGGACTTTTGGACCCTGAGTATGCAGATGATATCGTATACAGTGACAAATACAGACTACCCAAGTCGTGCCTAGTCAGTTGGCAATAAGTGTCCATAAGTATGGTATGCCTTGTGCACAATCTAAGTGCAGGTTGAAAGAAGCCTATACCTGCACTCACGCTTAGTGGTAAACTGTCAAGAGCTTTTGAAACGTTTCTGCACCTGATCAGTTGTGTGGGTGCTGGCGGATATGTAGCTGATGAGATTTCCAACCATACATCAAAAGCTATAATGGTATGCGCCAATCTTAAGCTCTGCCATGAAGTTAAGTTTGTTTTAAAGGGTTACGTATACAGCGCATCGATGTGCGTGGTTCTTCTGTACACCTGTGAATCGCAGCCTCTTGGAGTTGGGGGTTTCGATCACCGTTGTTTCCTTAGGATCGCTCAAATACGGTGTGAACACTGTGTAATTCTGGTATGAGTTGATGCACGTGTGATTATGATGAAGGTCTTTACTCGCTAGGAGAATTCGCCTCAAACATCAGCTTCAGTGGCTTGGAAACACACTACACAATTTGTCACAGCGTGCTCCCATACCGTTCAGTGTTCTCTTGCTATTGGATCGAGTACAAGAAGTGGACAAGTGACCAATGTAAAGCGTAGTGCTACAGGATGAAGAATATCTGTGTTAGACTAGCTGAGTGGTGTCCGTGACATTAAGTAACCCAGTGGCTTGAAACACTAGAAGATATGGCTAAAAATGGGAAACATTGGCTATCATGTTACAACTTTCTTGTTTCTTCTGTTGATGAAAAGTAAGGTGGAAGTGATGAATAGGTTTTTGATGAACTTATTTGTGAAACTGCTTCTTTAAAACTTATTTTAGTTTCTGCACTTTCCCGGTTTTTACAACCTCTAAAGCATTTTCATGGCTCCATGTTATCTTGTATTGCTCATCTCTTATTGAGCATGCTGCACGGAGTTTGTGTTCGAAATAATAATAATAATAATAATAATAATAATAATAACGATAACAATAATAATAATAATAATAATAGTGATTTACAAAGTAGCTTGGTTCCTATTTCTGTCAAGTAGTCTATTAATCAACCTCACATAGCGTAATATCTTGTAGAAGTTGCATGCTAACCCTTACTAGCAGTCATTATAAACTATGTTAACTTACTGTTTTAAACAGAAACTATAGTCATGGTGTGTAAAACAGTCGGTTAAAATATATGCTCTGGTTGTTGCTCTTGGTTTCATTTTATTGCGAATACTAACTGATAATCGCCGCTTATTTGTTAGACGTTGTTGAAGATCTTTTTTCCAATCAGTTCTACTTCTTGTTCACGCTAAGCGTTTTGGTCTATAGTTAGAAATAAGTTAATGTTTTACAAAAAGTGTGCTCATTTAACTTCAGCTTTTTGTAAATCTTCAAAACTAATTAGCAGTCTTTACTTTACCTGAAGCAGACTTTTTGGTCACTACATATTTCGTAAGAGTTTCCTCGAGTAATTTTTTTACTGTCATTCAAAATATTAGTGACAGTTATTTCCATGAGATACTGATGAATTACAGTATGTGGTATGGCTTAATTTACAAGCGAACATTGATAAACACTAATTAAAAATTACCAGAAAGGCAAAGGAGACTATTTTAACCTTTTGGTTTATACATATTGAGTTATTGTAAGAAATTCGGGCTTATAAAATGCAACATCAGTCTTCACTGAGTGTTTACAGTAATATCTCTTGTAGTCTAACCGGAATGCCGCAGTAGTGTTTCCAGATTGAGGAGTTGCTTGCTGCATCTTTGTTACATTGATCATAGAAAGCTTATACTCTTAGTTGCGTAGTAATGTTAAGTGTATGATGTTAAGTTTGTAATCATTTCATCTTTGTTTTCTTACTTTTTTGGTTAGACTTGAAGAAAACCCTACTACTGACTCTGAAAATTCTTTAGAAACACTTGTAGCGCTTGTCGGTCATTTAACCACATGTGGGCCTGTAGAACTTCGTCCTAAAGCGGGGGCGGGGGAACAAATTCACAATATTCCAGGGTTTCGTATGAATATGCCTAAGACTCAAGGTCAGTTGCATGCTTTATCGGCTATCACCTTTTTTAGAATAAATGTTTTATTATGCACGTTACCCTTGTATACAATTAAGAATATACTCGGACTTGTCAGTATTCTTAGTAACCAGTTTCATCTATGTGTGAAAGTCGTCAGATTCTCTCTTTTAATCGGTAAATCTAAAATCTACCTGGTGCTCAAAATGCATGCTAACGTGGAATTAAAACTATAAGGGATCCTACCAGCGTACGGTTACAAAGCTAATGTATTTACAGCTGATATATATGTTTCATGAAAATACATGTTAATGAAGATTAGTATGTCAATGTGTACTTAAGAACCGTGTTGTTATAGTAGGTAATCAACTATACATTTTGTGCACGGGCTAGTTCTACTACCTGGCTGCTCAGACTTCGGCAAATGAAACAGAGTTCGAACCCACGACTGGTGGTTGAAAGTCGATTGTCTAGACCAATAGGTCACAGATTCGCAAATTAGGATTTCGTAAACCTTACCATATAGTTAATATATTCATATGTAAGCAAAGTTTCTTTACTTAAATTCTAATGAAAGCTTCTTGATGTTCATTAACTTTCAAGATTAACTTTCTTAGATAGAAAACTTTCTAGCAACGTAGATAGAACATTCTTCGCACTTCAGTGGTGTGTAATTTGGCCTTAAGCTTCATAGTTTGTATACTATAATGTGGTTGGTTATCGGTTATAGAAAAAATAATTATGAACTGCAGGTAGATTCAAAATTCGACTTACATTACTTTATAGGTTTCTTTGTAGTCATAAACCAGATGAATTGTAGTGATATAATCCTGGCTGTGAATTGTGGGAACGTAAGTCGATGTACCTGTGTGCGATGTTTTGCGTTGGTTTTGTCAATCAGTCAGTCAGTTAATATAACCCTGGGTCGTCAGTACTCTTTATTGACTTTCTTTGATATTATATTTAACATCATGACAGGATTACTAGTCCTTGTGAATTGATATGACTTAACCAGCCATTTTTTCTATGCTAGAGAATAGAGAAAAAAGTATTTTGCTGCAATTTGTTCGACGAAAATCGGGGGATCACTACTTGTAACTGTGAAGTATTACTCTTTTTTGAATATTCTCTTTGTATTCGATATATTCCTCAACTAGTTTACATCAGCATCATCTGTACTATTTACGGAACTCAGTGATTATTAATTAGACTATTTGGGATGGTTGAGCTTTGACAGACTGGTATTATTGATAAGGAATTATGATTGAAGGTGAAATGAAAAGCTGGATCGCAGCATTTTGGTGTTGTAGGTCAGTTGGTAAAACACACCGGGTCGGTAACCCCGGAGATCACCGGTTCGAATCTTGCCGCAACCCAGGTTATCATTTTACCTCCAATCGTCACCTTGTTTCAATAAGAGATGCTGTTTCCTTTACTTGCGACGTGAAACACATGTCGACCCGGTAACTGGGGTGGGTAAAAATATGTCGTTTAGTTAGTTTGTTTTGTCTACTTACAGTTTTGATGTGGGCTGAGTACTCTATAACTTTTACCAGCACTCATGTTGTACAGTAATGAAGATTATGATGAGAAACTGCATCATATATATATATATATATATATATATATATATATATATATATATATATCCGATAATTTCCAACAAATGTATTTACTTTATTTTCTAATTTGATTATAGCGAGGAAAAGCATAAGAAATATGCATGCGTTCGATGTACTGCAATCATTGTTCAACAGCTGCTCAACAACTCATCTTAGTTTGTTAATACTGAAGACAGTTCAATCGATTTTTCTTCAAGATTTATCTAATTATTTTATTTTGGAGCAACAGAACACTTTGGTTGTCTTTGCCAAAAAGATATTTGAAAAGTCTTATGAAGTTCAGGTTAGGTTTTTTAACGCTTATTAAAACTTTTATATGAATTTTACAGCTATTCAGTGCTCCCAGGTTTCCAATGGTTTTCCCCAACTCACTCATGCTAGTCCGTGATGAATACAACCTTAAAAATAAGGTCCCCATAAGCCGTGTACTACATTAAGTCGTTTTGACAACTTTTCTGTTTATTTTCATCAGAATTAATTTTTTTTCAAAGCAACATAAATTACTAACGTTTTTATCCTTTAGAAATCCCGCCTAATTAATTTTTATGTTTGAACAAGTGTCTGCCACTAGCCTTAGGACTTGTTCGGGTCTAACTAACCAAGTAATAGATATAGATTGTATTTGTGTAAATCACAGCGGGTTTGAAATCAAATAATTCCAACGTTCCCCTGAAGAAGCTCGGACCAGACTTCCATGCGAAACGTTGGAATTATTTGATTTCAAACCCTCTGTGATTTACACAAATACAATCTGTATCCAATGTCAACCTTCTACTCAGCGCCCAATATTTGCCATACTATACGATCAAATCTTGATCATAGTTTATATAAATTACTCTGCAATCGTATTAAATTATCACAAAAAAAAATAACCAAGTAATATTTTGGAATATATTTAGTGAATCTCTTTGTCAGTAAGACATTTTAATAGTCAGGGCTTTAAGACATCAAGTTTGTTTGCTTCTTTGTGGGTTGATTTATGGTCGTACATTAACCACTGTAAATTCATTTCTTATCAATAATTTTCTGGTATTTTAAAGCATCATTACCTTGCTTATTCTTCACATTCTATCCCTTGTTTCATTTTGGTTTTTTTAGGAGGCTTATTTTGATGTGCTTGAGATACTGGTCAATAAATTGCACTATGTATTTATGAAAGAAATCAGTAGTATTGTTGTTCAGATGAAACTATTCAAGTTAGTGAATATTTTTTTGAAATTCATAAATTTACGTATTCAGAATTAGTTATTATCCCTTATAGGGTATGAAGCTTTTAATTTTTAGTCAGATTAATTCCAAAAGCATCCCATCAAGTATATGTAACTTTGTGGAATAGAAGACAGTAGTGAATACACTTAACCACCTGGTTGTCTCAGGGTGATAGACTGCAGAGGTGTTCTTTATTTACCAAGTTTACTACTGAATCCAAACCATAGGAAATAAGATGACTCTAAGTTCACGATAGGGTTATTAATCGAAAAGATGAGAGTGAAATCATCCACGGTTTCATCTTGTTGTACGTTTTTTGTTTTACTTTTTTAATTACGCACCATTTGTTGCAGGTATTTATATTAATGTTATCACATATTAACTTTTATTAGGAAAGTTTGTGCGTCTGAATATTTCTAAGCTGTCATATTTTTAGAGTTACTCGACAAGAAGCCGTGGACCTAGGTTTTGCGTCTGTTGACACTCATAAGAAAAGTGTATTAATGACCTTATAGATGTTGCCCGACTGAAAGTCCAAACTTATATCATCGAGTTCTGTGGTCACAGACGTTATCAAGTTACCATTAATTTCTTTTAGTACTGAATGTGATACAGAATGGTCAATAGGATAACAGAAACAGTCGGATTGAAGACAGAACTGAGGATCATTGATATGGTGTTTTTAGCATGTTTTCAGCATAGGTTGTTGCTTTTTTGATTTTACATAACACTGATAGTTATGACTAGTTTTCTTCTATTTCTTAGTTTAGCTACTACATGTCATTTATGTTCTCCTTTTAAACCCCTCCCACCTATTGACGCTTCTTTATCATTAGTTATCACACAATAAATGTGGTTTATAACCTGATTTCTGTTACTGAGCTGTCCACCATTACATTACTTTTAGCAGAAATATACCATATTTGGCGTGTAAAAACGGGATGTATCCAAGAATTGACCATACATTACCTAAGTTCTTTTATCGTTAATAAATACCATTTTTCGAGAGCATACATCCACAAAGGCTGTCATTATTCTTACCAGTGATTAATAGAATGTAAACAGCTTTGGGATTGTTCCTTTGTATATGAAGTGGTCACGGATATTTTTTCACCGATTTGTGACAGCTGTTTAGCTTCATTATCCAATGGTCTTTTTTTCTCTTCTGATTCATAGCTTATCTCCTTCCCTGGTCATCGCGTACCGCCATTTCATTCAACTTCTACGAATTAGTCCGGTTTTCAAAGATGTGTTTCATGATGTCGGTCTAATAGAATTAAGTGTAGACCTATTGAATTGTTTTATTGAAACAATGTCGAAACTGAATAATCCTTCTACACCTTCTAGTACAACATGTAAGCTCTGCTCTACAGAATACTTTACTGAGTAAAATGATTTACTGTTAATTGTATATTTTTGAATCATTGTTGTTTTGCGTTTTTCAACCACTTATGTAATTATAAGTCATGAGTGATGTATTAAGAAATAGATAATAACACCATCCAGCCGAGGAATGTGCTATCAATAATCCTATTCAATCCAATCAACAACTCACTCGCTCGTGAAACACTACCGTTGACTCATTTTCATTGTTTCATATCTGTCTACTCCATGTAAACGATTCATAATGGCTTGTAACACAGGGATTTCGGCTTGTACATTTGATATCATAATACTTCATGATAATTTAGGTGGAATAATGACTTGTGTTACACGAGAGAAATATATATATATATATATATATATATATATATATATATTTAACGCGGGAGTTGAATATTCATGTGCAAACAACTTGATGGAGCCTTTGGTTTCGATAGTAATAATACTAGTAATAATTATAATGATTATTATCAGTCGTAATGAAGGTGTAATGACATATTCCGAAGAATTAATGTTTTAGCCATTTAATCACCACTGACATTTATTTGTATAAATTGTTATTTCTTTGCGAATCCTATTTCACACCAATTTCTCACAATGACTATTGCCTTTCATGGTTGGCCAGTTTATTGATTTGTATTTTGTTTCGCATTAAATGGTGAAACATAACATGAAGTGACTCGTATTTTGCACCTCTAGCCACCAACAAACAAGATAGACAAGTCGACAATAACAACATGCAACCTGGCATTACTGCGTAGCGATCCTAGTCGCCAAATTTCATATCAGGACATCAAGCAAGGATGCAACAAAGTAAAACATAAAGAAGAAAACTATCGAAAGCTGTAAAAGACAGGAAGGAGGAAGGGAAAAAAATGCTGAGTTCAGCATAATTAAGATGAAGATACTGTTATGTACACACCTGCACAACTGGCATCGATTCTGAGCCATGTCACCTAGACCGTGCAACCACTGGTTTCTGTTTTCCCGTGGACTCCAACCGGGAAGTATACATTTCCCTTCACGGCTCAAACTGATAGTTACAGATTTCATGGAATGATGGCATGCTTTAGTCTAGCCGTCTGTAACACTTTTTCAACCTGAACCTACTTCAGCTAAAATTGCGCGGTCAGGTAGACTGTGACTAGGTACGCGTAACACACGTTGCAGCCACTTGAGTCATCATCATCATCATCAACTGACCACCCTCTTGTCTCCATAACTGTACAATTGACTTCCACATTACTGACATGGTAATACCATGACACATGGCCTATACTACGAAGGCGAAGGAGGTGAAACATCTGAAGAGTTCTCATTTCCTGGACTTCTAGTGGCCGAGTTTCATAGCGATACAGCAGAACACAATGGACTGCAGTGCAGTACTCTTTTTCTTTTGTAGACAGTCGGATATCGTGCCACTGCCATAAATAGCATATGTGGGTGAAGGTCAACTGAGCCTTTTATATGCGTGTCGACATCTCATCGGTCAGTGAGCCACCACGGCTGATCAGATATCGTAGCAAGTGAATCGATCGATGCGCTCAGCCACTTCAGTCCCTATTTTTAGACAAGGCACTAGTCAATGCCGTTTGACAGGCAACAATTTTCGTCTGAGTGATGAGAAACGTGTCTCAAACATTTTCAAATTGCTTCCGTAGACTGTAGCCTTCCTATGGATGTTCAAGTACACAGGCCTCAATAGAGCGATACTCTTTTCGATCCGAGACACTACCAGAAGACCTGTCGATTGACTGAGTCGAACGTCGCGTTCAGGTCGAGAAATGCAGCTAATGACTGGCGTTGATAAGTCTATCTGTGTTTCAGAACCTGGCGTAGTTTAAATATCTGGTCAATACTCCAAATGCCAGATGTAAAACATGCCTGGTTTGTGTGATAATTATGGAATCTCGTATCTTAGACACAATGTTTGTCTGACTGGTTCATGTGTGGCCATCACAAGAGAGCTTCTCTTTTTCGAATACTGTGACAACCAGTGACTAAGACCAGTCATGAAAGGAGATCATGTCTGATTCTCATATGCCAACAAGCACTCCAATCAACCTGACCAGTAATGCACATCCGTCAGCCTTAAATGCCTCCGTTACTTTAGCCAATTTGGCCGTACTGTCCCTCCTCATCTTCATTACTTACAGCTCTCTTGATTTCTGAAAGTGTTGGAGACGCTTTCTCAATGTCCTATTCAGGTTCTAACTGGACGACAGACAACGGAATAGTAGATGGAGGCCAGTTAAGTTGTTTCTTGAGGTGTTCCCCCATTATTCTAGTTATCTCTCCTGAGAGTGAGTCGAAGACTCATTCTTCTCTACAATAGCCTCATTAGCGATTGGCTTTTTTTCACCAGTTTTCTTGATAACTGTAAATAGTTGTCTAGTGTTATCTATCACCGTTCTTTTACAACCGTTTTGCCCTCACTACCTACCACTGCTCACGGTCATTGTGTATGAAAATTTTAATATAACTCGGTAATCATATACAAGTTGATGCATTAAATTAATAGTATTGCGTGACTGCATAGAACTCGTTGAGCAAGCGAGAGTTACAACCTTTGACTTTTTATATCACAGTCGGATACCTATACTACAATGCCGTTGCTCATGAAAAATATAGATCTACAATGTACAATTAATAAATTGTTTCTTTATCGAAACACAAGTTTCCTGTGGAATGTTTTATGTAGGTTAGTATATTGTCTCAAATTGTCTGCGTAGCAAAAGAAGGATTAAACTTCAAACGATTACTTACAAATTAACTTAATCCCCGAAGAAGCTGATAATGAACTCCTTTGGTATGGTACGTAAGAAATTATAATAAATTTTTTTTTGAATTATCCTTTGATGTAGTTGCATTGAAAATCTATTGCTTACAAAACAGTTGTATCATTTTTTAAGCTATTCATTTTCCATTGCCTTAGTATTTCGGTATTCTTTCTTTTACTATTAATGATAGGTTCATTTACAACACTGAAGGAAATAGGTCATTATCTTTTGGAATTTTTGCAGTTTACAGTTACCTCACATACACAGAATGGTGATGTTCTCATTCGATTAGGTGCTACTAGTTGTCTTCTCAATCGTATATTAACTACAGAAGCGAATGAATATATAGTTCCTTGGCGTTCTTCTGCGCTAATAATATATGAAGAATTGATGCTTTGTAACGGTGGTGAAGAGCTAATGCCTAACTTATTAGAGAATATGCATCACGCATATGCTGATTTGAAAATTGATGTAAGTCTTCGCAGTATATTTATTTATTACCATAAGATAAAACAGAGTTTTCAGCGGTAATGATACTTGTTTTTAATGTTTCCTTTTCTTCCTTTTGAAGTAATAATCACATACCACTGGTTGCTCATGCTTAAGTTAGCTTGCTTATACTATCTCTTTTGTTATGTTAATTTTATACTAGTGAGGGACTGAATACAGGGCACCTACTTGTCTCATATTAATTTCAGGAAATGTTTACTGAAAAGTGTACAACTCGATTCAACATCTCAGAGGAAGGGTATGGATTACTGCAGTAACCTCACATACTCTTTTTTGTGTGTGTATGGTTGAGTAAACTTCAGTAGATGTGGTAGGATTCGAATCTGTGTACCATCGAGTGGAAGTCAAATGCCTAGGACAGTGACTCCTTATTTCGTCATAATGCCTATCGACTTCGGGGTCATAGCAACAGCAGTGAAGAAGCTCTGGACATCACGTATTTATATAGCTTGCGAATATTCATAAGTGTTCTAGTGAATAAATCAAATTATTGTTAGCTGAGGTAGTTTTACTCTTAATGACTCACAACAATTCAATAATCATGTGCATGTATACCTACTAGACTTTGGAATAAAGCAGATTTCTAACCTGTCACCCTCTACGTGAAAGCTAAATGCTTATCTCAACAAGATAGCTCTGTGTGTCTCAAGGATAATAAATTGAAGGAAGTTTAGAAATTCATGTGTCTTTATGATAGTTCTGAGATCGATATGGGTTGATGATTGAAGTTGAAATGAAAATTCTGGTCGCAGCAGGACTCGAAACATTGGCCGGGTGTTCTCGTAGCTTAGTTAGTAGAGCACTGGGCCGGAAACTCGGTGGTGCCTGTTCCGAATCCTGCTGCGACCCAAATTTTCATTTCGGTTTTTATATCGCACCCGAAATCAAGAAAATGGTTGTTTACGTTGTTTTGCGAACAGTTAGACTTAGGATGCTTGTCGATATACTGCATCATCCTGGAGTCCTATACATTTCAAGTGGTTCATTTATCTTTCTTTTAGCTTTAATTTCTCATCTACTGAAAATTTTGAAACATTAAGTTTGTCCGAATTAGTTTCCGTCAGTAGAATTTGTTTTAAGCATTATCATTCAGCATCTCTAAGCTCTTTGATTTTTTTCCTCAGTCTTTCTTAACCAGAAGATCTGAAGTTTATCAAAAGATGTTGATTTGTAACCAGAAGCTCTACGCTTTAATACTGTATGTTTATCTTAAAGGTGAAAAAGACGATCTGCTGATTATTATGCTACTCAACCTTTTCAAATCAACAGTAAAGTTTTCTTTAAACATATCTATTCACTTTCAGTTCATCTGAACAATAAGTAGATAAAAAGCCATCTTGATGGTATTATTTTCTTATTGTTTTTCTATCTCAACGTTTTAGATACTATGCTCATTCTGTCGAGTTCTACGTGAATCACATCGATGTAGAGCTGTATTTCGTAAATTGAATGGATTCGTATATGTAATGCAAGAATTAATCTATTTAGAAGGTTGTTTAAATCTATTTTCATGCAATAATAACTCATCGAATCATATGATCAACTCATTTCCTTCTTATACACCTTCGTCAATTGTCAGGTCATGTCATTCATCGAAGGAGTCATCACCAAAACGTGTGCTTTTATCACCAGCATCTGATGTTCAATGCATTCCACAATACCAACAACGAGAAAGGCATCAATCTCATTTATCTCGTAAATCATTCTTATCAAGTTTAACATATCCTCAATTATTTCTTCTAATCAAGTCTATATTTTCAAGCTTAGGCATAGCCATGAAGTTTGAACCAGCCAATGCGCATTACTTCATAACTGAGGTAAAGAGAATCAGTATTTATACTTTGTGTACGGTTCTTGAATCCAGATATGTCTATTTCTGCCTATCCATATATAATATAATGTACAGATGGGGACAATCGGTTCCCACCAACAGCTGCTACCTTGATGTAGTGGTCCAGCTTGCATATCACATTGATCCAAAGAGCTAAGCCGACTGGAACACTTGTTACTCGAGTTTTTACTATGCCAGAAAGGTCTGTTGAGTAATGTTAAGACCAAAAGCAGTTACCGTCATAATGTGAACAGCCTACTCTGTGATGGGGGTTCGGGGAAAAGTTGAGTTGTTGGCTGGATGGAATGTGACATCATTGCCACTAGTACCATGTTTATGCTACCTTCCCTATTGAGATAAAGAGATTATAAAAGGTCGGCCTCAAAAAGGAAACACGTTTCCCTGCCCTGTAGTATTTCGGTGCCGATGGTATCGGTTCCCATCGAGCATTGGCATAATCTAATCTGATCCCAGTAATCTTAAAAAGGTCGTGGTTGACAAGTCTCAAACAGGTGTCGTATGGGTTCATATAATTTTGTTTTGACAATCACTTGTTTCTGGTCAGCACTAACTTCAAGTATAAAGACGAACACTGTCTTACTAAGCATTTGCTGATACCAAGCCCATTGTGAGGACTGATCAACCATATTGCTGTAAGCCATATTGGCGAAGATCGGTGGATGATTGCCGTTCTTTCTGAAGTGCCTTCTTGGACTCCGATCACGTATTAGTAAGGATACGTATATGTTAGCGTCTCAATTGAAACAGGAAACAGGCATCAATGAGGCTCCTGTTTGCTGAAACGAAAGGTGAAAAAGTCAAAGGTGCATCTAGAGAGGAGATAGCTAAGCATTTATCTGGATTGAAAACAATCTGAACGAAGAATATACTGTTAAATAAAATTGTCATCAGATTCTACTACAGTAATTCTCTCTCCCATGGAGCCTAGCGTAATATGTAGTCTGCTATAGAAACAGTTGTAAAGTCAGTTGGCAACCCACATACAAAAGTTGGCGCAAACCGTCTGAAGTGATTGGTATGAGGAAACGTATTCTCCATGGCTCTAAACACGATAATGAGTGAAGGGTGAAGAAAAGTGAATTGACTAAGAGTCTTCTCATTGATAGGGAGAGATGGGTGGTGGAAAAAGCGACAGATATGGTGGGGGCATCAGTATTGGATAATACTTGGCAATTGTTTTGGCTTATTTGGACTACTGGTAAAAAGAAGACGATGGCTAGTGAGACCACCTCTGAAAGGACTGGTCACTGACAGTCTCTCAAGATAAACCGACTAGAACGTTGAGCGAAACACTTAATCTCGTGTTTTGATCACGTGTTTCTCCTTTTTCTTCATTTAGTTGTCTGGGGTGCCGGAATTATTATTATTATATTATTTGTCCCTTGAGTTCCTAGTAGAACAAAAGGCTTCAGTAGCACATCTCCATTCCACTCTCTTCTCTGCAAACTTTTGAACCTGGCTCCACGACAGCCAACAAGCTCTCATTTCTTCCTCGCACGATCTCCTCTATGTCGTCCTTGCCTCGGACGCCCAACTTGTCGCTTCCCATGCGGGTTCCACTCGAGGGCCTGGCCTGACACGTGATATCCCAGTCGGCCTTCTCAGTGTATGCCCAATCCACCTTCACTTCCTTCCAGTGCATATTTGTTGAGCGATAGGTTCTTAGTTGGTTCGTTGCCAGAGTTCCTTGTTGCTTATTCTTTCTGGCCATCTGAGCTTCAGTATCGAGCCAGCATAGGCAGTTGTTGATGAATGTCTGTAGTTTGTTAGAAATGGTTTTGGTGACGTGCCAAGTTTTTGAACCATATAGGAGCACTGACTTAACGTTGGTGTTGAGAATCCGGATCTTGTTCACGTTTTATGCTGAGTGCAGTAGATCTCCACACTGGTTTCAGGTTAATGAATGCTTGTCTTGCTTTTCCGATTCTGGCTTTGACATCCTCGTCTGTGCCGTTGCCTGTAGTTGAAACAGTGCTGCCTAGATAGGTGAAGGAGGCTACTTCCTTTAAGTTTCTTCCGTTCAGGGTGATTGGAGCATGCTGTTGTTGGTAGTGTTGTTAGTTGGGTATCTTCATCACCTCTGTTTTCTCTATTATATTCACTTGAAGTCCCGTCTTTGCTGCCTCTTCTGAAAACGTGTTAGTTTTCACCTGTAGATCTTCAAGTTTGTGTGACATCAGACAAAAGTCATCGGTGGCGAAATCCAAGTCTTCTAGGTTCTTTTCCGCAGTCGAGCGTATCCCCCTCTTCTCGCTCCCCACTGTTTGTTGCATGATCCAGTCCAGTCGACCACAATCAGGGATATCATGGGTGATAGTAGGCTACCTTGTTTCACTCCTGTCTTTACTTCAAAAGCATCACTGAGCTTCCCATTGTGAATTACTTGGCTGGCATGTGGCGTCTTCATGTAGTTGTTGAATGAGGCTGATAAAGGTTTATGGTATTCCATAGTATTGAAGCAGTTTCCAAATTACTTGTCGGTTGACGCTGTCAAAGGCCTTTTCAAAGTTGATGAAGTTGAGGTAGGTGGTGGACTGCCACTCTATACTCTGTTCTATGATGATGAGTAGTGTAGCGTTACAATTTGGTCTGCACATGATTTGTACTTCCTGAAGCCAGCCTGTTCGGGTCTTAGTTTTGAATTCAGTGCATTGTTTAGTCTCTTGAGGATGATGCGGCATAATATTTTGCTTGGGGTGGATAGGAGCGTGATTCCTCGCCAGTTCTTGCAAAGACCCTTCTCCCACTCGTCGGGTACCTTTCCTTCCTTCCAGATGTTCTGCAATAGTGGTGTGAGCATGTCGGCTGTTGTCACTGCGTCTGTTTTCAGTGCTTCTGGCGGGATTCCATCTGGTCCTACTGCTTTCCCGCGTTTCAGTAGCTTTATGGCGTTCAGGACTTCGACTTTCGTTGGAGAATTTGTGTTCACTTGTAGTTCTGTGGCTGGGTTGCAGGTGGTGTTTCTGGACGAAGTGCAGGTGGTGGTCGACTCGAGAGCTGTTTGAAGTGGTCAACCCATAGTTTCCTCTGTTTCTCCTCTCTGGTAATTAGATTTCCTTCACCATTTTTATTGGTTTCATGTGTGTTGATCTCTTCCCTCCCAGGTAGTAACCTGGTTACTTGATTCAATGTTGTCAGGTCCCTCCTACCTGCAACCTGTTCTGTTTCACTTGCCAGTGTGTCGTAGAAGTGTCTTTTGTCTTTGCTCACACTCTTTTTCACTTCTTTCTCCAGTGTTTTATACGCTCTACTCAGTTCCTCTTCACGTCGTTCGTCCCTGTACTGGTTTGTCTACTGCCTCACCATCTTCCTCTCCCTCTGCCTCCTCTATCAGCTTCCATGTGTCCGTTGAGATCCATTCCTCGTCTTGTCTTCTCTCTTCTTCCTTCCTAATACTGTTATGCAGGTTTCTTTCCACATCTCTTTCAAGGAGTTCCAGTGTTCTTCCACACAGGTTTCTTCAGGGATGCTGCTTAATGTCTCCCATTTGTCCTGATGACTGACTGACGTGAAGATGTCCTTTGTAGTTTCGTCCTTCAGTTCAGTTTCTCTTCTGGGTGTTGAACTTCAACTATGGTCTATCACCAACTTCTTCGTCGAAGGCTTTCAAGTTGATTTTGAAGACAGGTTGTTTGCAGTAGTTAGTGAGTGGTGTGAACCTACATCTGCTCCCCTTCTTGATCTGATCTTGTGTCCAGTAGGCTGCGTCTTCACTTTCTTCGGATTGAGATGAAGTCGATCTGACTTCTAGCGTAGTGTGTCTGGTGTCTGGGTAAATGAAATTCATGTCGCTTTGTGGATATCCTTGTGCTTGAACACAGTGCCTCGAATCACCAAGTCGTTGAATGCACAGAATTCTGCAAACAGTTCTCCATTCTCGTTCATCACCTCACCTAGCGCTTCTCAACCCATGGTTAGTTCTCTTCCTGTGTTTTCCACTCCCAGTTTGGCATTCATGTCGCCCATTAGAATTTTGATATCGCCAACTGCCGTCTTGTCCAGTGTTGATTGAAGTTGTCTGTAGAATTCCTCCCTTTTCTCTTCATCTGCATTATTTGTAGGTGCATAGCATTGTATGATTGTGACCTTCCTTCCTTTTGAGTTGAATCTTGCTGTCATGATCCTACATGAGGAGATCGGTTCCCACTGCATGAGAGCCTTCAATGCTCTTGGGGACATCATGATAGCCACTCCAAAACTCAGTGTTCTCGTGGTTGTCGTGTGGGTGAAAATACCGGAGTAGATTATTGACTCTCTAGTTGACAGTTTGGAGAGTCCACTTCCATTCATTCCATCTGCTTTCGCGAATTCCTAGCACTTCGATGTGATATCTTCTCATCTCGTTTGCAATCTCAGCTGCCTTGCTGGGTTCAAACATTGTGCTGACATTCCATGTCCCCACGTTTACTTTCGCTTTCGTCGAGATAAAGAAAACACATCGGCTAATCGGCTTCCCGAAGGCTTTCACCAATCGGCGTCATTTTGCCTCTCCGATTGCAGCGAGGAATAAGTTTGTTTTATTTTTTATATTTCGTTTGTGCTTTTGAGTTTCTTTAGCGGTTAGATTTGTTTTCCGGGGTAGGGTTGCTAGCCCTATGCCCAACCTTCCTTATTTATGCGGGCTTAGGACCGGCTAGTAACTAGTGAGCTAGTTAACCAGGTGAGGTTAAAGTGACGGGGCACCCGGGTTCTGACTCCAGGCCTTTTGGCCTGCAGTCCACAGCTCTAGCACTGAGCTGTTTTCCCGTTTCGTCATAATTTGACTTCTTTCTTCCATTTATCTAGTAGAGAAAAAGTTATGTGAAAATGAATGCGACTATAATTGTCGATAAGGTCGGAAGTATTTATAACTCAAGTGGATGATCTTGATAGTGTTTCACTATCTGAGCCAGATAGTCTATCCGGCTCAGATAACGTAACACCAACAAGAGACTATTTATATTATCAGTACTTCAGAGTTGAAATGGATGCTAACGCGTTTTCCCGTAAGACATAAGCTCTATATCACATCACTTAGCGTGTCTAACTGCGGTTGTTTCCTGTCCTATAATAATATTTGCTGTAAATGCTCTCGTGGTTTAATACCGTGCATTGATTTAACTGTTTTCTGTTTATGTCTCCCTGGTGACTGAGAGCGGAGAAACTTCTCTTTTTCTGATTTACATGAATGTATCCATGCTTCAGCTAAGAATGTCTCACTTCACTATATTCGTTTGATTTTCTGTATTTCAGTAAGCAGCTAAAGATCGAAAATCAGTAAGTGACGCTTATTACGTGGTCAGCTAGTATAAGACGTTCACGAGTTGGGAAACCTTAATTTCAGATAATTAGTCCCTATGGTCACTAGAAGCTTCCAGGAATAATCTGCTCACAGTTCTAGATTTTTATCGCCGTAATGTCGCGCTCTTTTGTGCGACACATTTTATCAGTGCCCATATTATGTTGAGTGCGTTAAAATTAAAGTTGGTAAACTGACTACTTGAAGTCTTCTTCTTGTGCCCACTTAGTAGCTTACTCGGCATGCTCAACAGACTTTACGATCCACGCAGTCGGTACACCCTAAAGCTCTAGAGATTGTAGTGTTATTCAGTCGATTAAGCCAATCAACACCCACATTCTTGCAGGTCGCCGATCAGTCAGATTTTATTCAGATAGAACTGGTTGAGTAGGTCACTACACACTCTTGGTAATATCAAAAGAAGATTATAACTTTTGCTCAGCATACTGATTGCTTGGTAAATGCATACGAAGCAATACTTTATGAGTTTAGAGAGCTAATGCCGAATGAACTGCTCAGTTTCGTATAAAATCAACCTTCAAATTATTTGTGACCAGAGAGGTCACCTGTTTTTAATTGTTTTCTGTCGTATGATTTATTTTTCATGATAAGTAAACGCATGTGTTAGTAATCGAATTTTTATTACGTAACACAATTAAGATTTTCAGTTAGTTATTTTTTCGTGGTGAATTCTAAAACTTCCCACAATGCTGTTCAGTATCTTCGGACTAACTTGGTTCACTGCGTCTATAACTCATATTCGGTTGCTGTTAGACCTTTGACTGTTGGAGGACAACGAATCATTTCATTTTAGGGCTTGTAACACTACTTGGAGTTGAATTTGAACCACGAATTCATTTTTGATATGGAATGACCAAAGAATGGAACTTTGGGGATAGCACCTTAACAGAGCATTAACGTAGCTACACATATGAAGAGAATTTGCGTAGGCACATATGATTTACGAATAAAAAACGCTGAAATCACCTTTATATGTTTTTGAAGTGTGATCTCAATATATACCCTACTGTATCAACCTGCTATTCGGGGTTTCATATCGTAGTAATTCAGTGATCTAAGGTGACTGGGACGCTTGTATCTTGAGGTCATACTGCACCAGAAAGGTCTATTGGATTGTGTTAAGAGTGAAATCAGTTAGCGTCATTACTGGAATACCTTATACCATAATGTGAACCCGAGCATGAACTTACTGTTGGGTGAACGTAGAGTCAGGCGGTAGACAATGTAATCTCTATCCAAAACTCCTGAAAAAACCGCATGTTATCAGTCCCGATCAAACGTCCCTTGGGATCTGCAGTCATGCATCGATATTACTAATCAAGTTCCTCTTTTAGACACCTTGCCGCAACAATTTACGCTGTGAGCAACTGGAAAGTATCACCCACCATCAGGCTTCCAGTGGCATGCGAAATTCTACTAACCGTGACCTTCGTTCCCCATAAAAAAACTATATTTGTAAAACCCAAATAAGATAGAAAAATAAGTTTCTGACGTTTCGTGACCTCTCCGAAGAATCTTCCTTATTTACCTTTACCTTCTTTGCCTTCACTTTCTGTTATCAACAGGATTCTCAGTTTCTCATCTTGCCACCATTGCTAGCAATACAGGCTATAGCAACATATTTCTAGTTTCCTAAAACTAGGTTACTAATTACACAATGTGTACTAAATTGCACAAAAAGCGTCACCTGTTGAAACTTAGGAACCTCGAGCAATGTATGTATGTTGTGTTTCTGATACGTGCATACAGAACCTTTGTAGTTATTTACTTGGTCTCATTCGAGTTAGCCAATAAGCATCAACATTCGACCTGGTGGTACTGTATAATAGTCCATGTTACCGCACCTCATATCAACACATTTATGCTAAAGACATCAAAATGATAGTTGAAGAAATAAGGAAGAAGTTAGTCAATGTGGTAAAAATTCATGAAAAAAGAAAACGAGGGAATTAACCAGTAGTGAGGTTCGGTAGGACGATAAAGGTAATATGTGAATGTATCTGTGAAACTTAGATTCTGAGTCATATCATCTTGAGTCTTCAACAACCCATTTCAGCTGCTCCTTTGACCCCAATCGGAAAGTCTGCTTTTCCAAACATGGTTCAGATCAACTGTCAAAGATTTAATAGACTTACACTATGTCTTAGTTTGGTCACCTTTAGTTTTCTCTCAACCTAAATATGTTTCAGCTAACATTGTGTAACGAAGTGGTTGGTAATAAGGCGTGCTTAACGAATATCTTAGATATCTGAGTGGATGAGTATGCATAACGTCATCAATTGACCTACATCTTCTGCGTAAAACTCTACATTTAGCTTCTATGTTACTGACGTGGTGGTACCACGACACACGGCCTATACAACGAAGATAAAGAAGGTTGATCACCTGAAGCCTTCCCATGTCTTCTAACTCTAATAGCCATGTTTCATAGCCATGTAGTAAAACAGGATACGTAGAATTGTTTCTCCTTTTGGATATATATTTGGTCGGTCGCCGATTACCAGAGTAGAACTTAATTTCTTTGAATAGTTATTTTTCGGAAATCAGCGGAAGCTAATTCTTAAATATTACAAATGTGACTCAGGTTTGTATTCTAGGCTGAGTATGTAGCGAAAATGTGCACTTTGTTTTCCTGTTTCTTACAATTTGTGTATATCTTTTTCTGTCTGTATTCAGTTAACTTCATGATTCAATAATATGAACATCTTATGTATCTCATTCTCTCATAGATTCAGTATACCACTCTAACTGATGCAATTATCTCTCTTGGCTCAAATAAACAAAATGATACTGTAAATCCTGATTCAGACAATCAATCTATATGTATAAATTTGAATGAATTAGTGAATGGATTCAATGAATCACCTAGTCGTCAAGTAAGAAGCACGCGATGTAAATATTTGCATGCATTATTTATGAATGTAAGACTGATGGAGTCATTACTGTTATTTCCTTCTTCTCTACCATCATCTGGATCACCGAAGATAAAAACTGAATATAATGCTGATGGCTATCCCAAGTTGAATAAATCATCTGAATTGATCATTGATTTACCTAGGCGAATCGTAGAATGGTGTCTTATATTTAGATACTTGTATGATTTAGCAATTGATGGATATGATCGGTAAGTTCAAACCTACATATATTTCTGTTTTCACATAGACTTGAAGTTCTTTTCAGTTGCATTGAGAATTGCCTAAACAGTTCGATGGTTTTCTAAGTGCTATGATTTTATATGGTTTTTTTTGTGTGACCTAATCTAAAGAACTCAGAAGTAATACCATTACTTATGACTGTTAAATATGCACTTCATACTGAAAATGAGTTTCCGTATACTCCCAAATATGATCTGTCTGTATTAATTTTCGGACAAGCGCTACAACAAATATGAATGTATAAGCTGCCTTTTTGCAATTCTTTGATAGGTCAATCAGGCTACTCGGTTGTTCTCTGTGATGTCATCAATATCACTAATTATGAGTTGTTTTGTTGTTATTGTGGTTTTCTTCTGCAGTAACTATTTTGTTTGCTTACGAAATACCCTTTTTTTCAGTAACTCGATTCGCTCAATTTTATCGGACAAGAGTGCGGATTGTTCACCGCTTCAAACTGTTGATAATATTGAGAATTGTGATAATAATATTGAAAACCCTGAATTAACCGCTAATTCACTGTTGAATATAAAAGATGTTTTAATTATTCATCCAGATGCAATTATTGGTCTTTTAAAGCTTATCGCCAATTTAAGTGGATACTTAGATTGCGAGCGCTATTCATCATCATGGTATGAGTTATGTACAGATTTTCAGGTAAGTCTTTTATCGTATACTTTATCAATTATTGTTTTCAGTAGTACATCATCGATACTCAGGAATTTTTTAAAGTTGTCATTCTCTTAGCGATTTCTAGGCATGGAATGCTTTGAGATGTTTTCAGTTGAGTGGAAGTCAGACAGACGTGTAAAGGCTTTCGGAGATTTTTCATCTGAAGTGACGACAGCTAGTTGAATGCATCAGAGACGTCTGCTGTCACCATTCTCGTTTAACTTCGTTGCGGATGTATTAAGTCACATGACTCCAGATACCTCTGACCTTACATAGACCGACCTACTCTCTAGAAAACATCTAGTTGACGATATACTCTTGTTAATCAGGCGAAGTGGCTGACAAAATGTGGCTCTCTGAACAACTAGAGGAAAAATCTGAACGTGTTTTGCATGCCGTTTGCACCCGTGAAATGTAAGATAATGCTTCTGGATTGGTGTTAGCCACTCCCAGTTTAAGGACAGATAGGGATGTACTGGAATATGCTAACAACTTCAGGTAGATTGCAGGTTGGATCAGCTGGGAACAGAAGTTTCGTTTGTCACTAGCGAACTTAAATCATATCTGGTGCCAGAGGTATAGCCGACCACTTATTTATGGACAAGAGTGTTGCCTTTCAATCCGCTTTGTCCTATCATAACGGTTTTGAGTCATGGCTGTTGAAAGTAGAAGTTGCGAGATGGTTACAGGTTCTTAGCCAGATCAATCTTTTTAGTGTTGCTCGCATGTGAAGGGGTCAGCGTGTGATCAGTGTGGAGTTCATACTTAGGGTACTAGGTACTAAGTAGACAAGTAAGGCGGTGAGGGAGTGGATTAAGTTATGAACCCTGACTGAGTGAAGTAGGTGGGTGGTTTATTTGTGTGTTTCGCATGTCGAGCCACTGCGTACCTCGGCGTACAATGTTAGGTGAAGTTGGAATAGACTTGAAGAAGTAGCAGGGTGATCAGACCAAGAAGTGCTGTGGGTCAACGAAGTCTCTGACTATTGGTCTGAGCTGTGTAGAAAGATGTCGACTGTCTGTCTAAGGTGGTTGTGATAATAGGATTCATTGGTTGGATGAAGATCGTTGATGACATGGTTGAATATCCGCCACAATGATGGGAATGTGTGTACTTTGATGTCACTAATTTTCTATCATTTTGTTGTTTGTATGTTGCTGTAATGAATTGTGGCAACTTGGATCGATGTGCTTCTGTGTGAGGTTTTGTTTGATGAATTTGGTTTGTGTATGTGTGTGTGTCTTCATTGTAAGTTCATTTGACTTTGTTTTGTGTTATTCACCTTTTATGCAGAGTTGCTTCCTTACTATTATCAGTGATCTGCTACATAGTGAACGAAATCAGCAAATTCTATGTAATGCCTCAATGCCTCGGGAAATTCTGAACTTATTTCGTGAACCATTGGCAAATGATAGTCATCCGTTGCATGATCAAGTACGCGGTATTTTTGAATGTCTAGCTATTCAAGCTTTAACTCCGGACAACCTTCGGTAGGTTTAATTATATAAGATTTTTTCTTAATTTGATTCCTCAGTGGGTTTAGCATATGTCTTATATCTTAGTATGTATACTTCGGTAATCTAAATTTCCTAGTTTGAGAATATTCCCGGTTATATTCTGTGCCAGGTTGACGACCTGTCTAGTCGGTCTGAGAAGGAACGTGTACATTACTGCGAGTAATTTGGCTACTTATAGATTGAATGGAAAGCAACAACTAAGCGATGATGTTTATTCTGTTGGGTGGCACAGAAACTATTGATAGTTTTATTTGATAAACGCATCACAGAATAATAATTGTTCTTTTTTGTATAGCTATTAAGGTGGCAGGAATGTACATATTTTTTCGAAAACAGTTTATTCCATTGTTCCTTAAGGTAAATGGCCAAACATGGTGGTACTCAAACGTCAAACTTCCTTTAAACTTCATTCTGTGAAAGCTAAGAAAATGATGCGTATGTTGTACTCCATATTCATATGCGTAACAGGGGAAAGTACCAGCATCAATACTTGAACAGGAGATGATAATTTATTAGCCATTGTCGTATTTCAAAAATCCAGACCACGTGAGAATTTTCATGATAGCTGTATAATCACTATGGAATCGTTAATCATCAAAATTCCTGGGGTTTTTGTTGATTGTATGAAGAAATCTCCTAGAAACCATGAGTTCTATCAAGGTTGAATGTCAACAGACATGAAGTCAAGTTCAAGGGCTTCTCATCATTCATCGATATAAGTATGCATATAAAATGAACTACAGTGTTTATCTATTCTCAAAGATAACCATATAGACTTCATTACATAAGAAGTTTGCGTTTTACATTCACTTGTCAGTTAATTTCATGCTTTTTTTTGTATATATTTTCGCTTTCTAGTGAATTTCTTCGACTTTCTGATGCTTTATCAAAGCTGGATGATGGTTTAATTTAT